CAACTCCAATATTTTCGATCAAAGTTGAGTGAAAATGGCTTATCTATAATTTTAAAAGTTGTGTGGAGGGAAAATAGTGTTTAGTGGAGAAAAGGGGCATTGGACGGTACTTATGTTGCCATAAAAGATCTTTGGTTTTTGCCCCATGCCTATCACCTCATCAAGGGTGTAATAAAATAGGTACTCTCGTAGTGTGTGTACCAGGTTAGGGTTAGGGCATAATTTCATTCCGTTTCTCTTATTTTAGTTCTATTACCTGTTCGAAGACTGGCCGTGTTAGCCAAGTGAATATACCCCTGCCCATGGGCTTCCGTCGCTTTACACAACTTGATGTAAAGTAGGCAAACAAAATTAGTTACCTCCATATTGGTACACACCTGGAGTGCCTCGAAATCTTTACATCTTCGTAAGGAATAGCAATTTAATCACACTCCAGGTGAGGTGATGGGCTGGAGATTTTTTGCAAAATGTCTGAGATGTATTCATGAATAACTGTCCTGGTCCCCATTTAATCATTTTTTGTAAAAATTTAATTTTCAAATGGCAAAGGAATTTTGAAAGCAAACGTGTTCTGGTGACACGCTTATCACATAAAATATAGATAAGCTGTCAAGGTGTTGTGGACTAGAATTAATATTTGATGAGACTGTTTTGAGACGCAGATAAATATAAGCAAAGATGCATTAGCATAATTGGGGTCACAGGAAGTGATGACCTCATGATCCGCAGATTAAGATATTATATCATTTACAGGTAAATAAAAAATAATATTTACTTTACAGGGACAGCGTATACAGAATAATTACCATTTAATAATTGGTTTTAACTGAAAGGGCTGAAACTTTAGAAAGCTGTTTCGAGAAAATGCGGGAAATGTATATTTAAGCGGTTAGTTTAAATAGTACCGGTACCTATTTTTTTGTAATTTTCAAATAAAAGTTTTGCTTCGTTTTTTTAAAACTCTCGTTATGTAAACACAGAATGTTTGGCCTCGGATATGTTGGATATGGATATTGGTAAATATGGTAATTACTGTTCAGCCTCATCCCTACCAGCCCAGGCTGCTACAAATTGGTAGTCAAGGCAAGAAAATGGAAATATTCTGGGCTCTGGCCATCCTAAATATCTCCACGGTCCCTTGTTTAGACTGAAACATGTTGAAACACCTCTGTTTTTCATAAGGGATTATACCTAATACTATTAAGATACTATCAAGATAACTATGAAATTTATATCAGAAGCCAATATATTATGAAAGCCTGATGCCCCCATGTGTGGAAACGCCCCAGTTTTTTATAAAGCAAAATATAACACTAAGTGTTTTTCAAGATAACTATAAAATCTATATCCCACAGTCCTTCAATAATACTTATATAAAACTTTTAAATCAGAAGTCAATTTATTATGTAAGCTCTGGTCTAGTAATCCATGTAAGTTAGACAGACTACAACTTCATGTACAAGGGATTTTAGGGATTAAAACAGAGGTTTAGCAGGACTAATGATGATTAAAAATGTGACAGATGCCAGTTTTATTGATTGAAAACTCATAACTTATGCTAGACATTGTAATGATATTGATTTTTTTTAAACTATGGGAACATTAGATTTATTCCGGTTGAATTATATGAAAAAATAAAATTATGAAATAGGGAGTTACATTACTGCTCTGAACAAAGCCCTGTATAAGTAGATATCCAGAAGCCAAGATTTGCTATAACCAATAACTTCCCAATTTAGGATAGGATAGGATCAACATATTTATCCCGGGGGAGAGGAAAGCTGATAAGACGGCTTATCCATATGGCGAACCACGGCCTCTCGCCCGGTTACCATTCCATGTCGGGTATGGGATTAGTTAGTTACTTGTTTTTCGGAAGCACGGACTTGATGGTGGAGGAAGCTGTAACCGACCAGCGGTTATGTGAACCACCCAACGGCGGCGAGGAGTCCAGCAATCCTCTCGCACATAACCATCCTGCATTGGATTCGAACCCACGCAGAGCAATTAGAGGTGCGGTGGCGAGCGTATTCCTAACGCTTAGCACACTGAGCCACACCGCCGCGCCAATTTGTCAAAATTTGTAGGGGTTCACTTTCACACCATCCCTTTGAGTGAGCCTTTATTCCAAGTACATACTATTAGGAAGACTTTTATTTGATTTCAGAATACTAAAGTTTTTTTAGTTCAACATCGTTTGTAATGAGTTCATGATTTACTATATTTAGGCTTTTACTGATATAAAGAGACTATTTTTGTTAAGGGTCTGAGTATCCCCAGTGTAACGCCACTCACTCAATTTAGTCACGCTCTATTTTCTTTCAAAAATTTTCCCAGTACTTGATGTTTTCTTGTGAGAAACGAACTACTTAAGAAGTACTTGATCTATTTATTATTCTAAGAAAAAAATAGTGAGAACATCACAATTATCTTTCAAAATTTAGGGGATAAGAGCCACTAAGAGAGGTGTTAAGTGTTCAAGAGATTATGCGCATAAACCGCCAACTCTAATTATGTGTGGGCGGCGTACTTTTATTTAAAATTTGCTGTAAACAAATTGATATATTTTAACTTGAGTTGGAAAGTTGTAACTTCAAGCAGCCAATCAAGTTGTAAAGTTGGTACTCCCGTAGTTTATGTACCAGGTTAGAGTTAGCTCATAATTTTGATCCGATTTTCATTATTTTAGTTCTATTACGAGTTCAAGAACTGTCTTTGTTAGCCAAGTGAATATACCCCCTGCCCATAGGTTTCCGTCCATTTACACAACTTGATGTAAAGTAGGCGAACAAAATTAGTTACCCTTCATATTGATACACATACTTCTGGATCGCTGTAAAGTAAGTGTGGCATTTTCCATCCATGTTCTATTTCTCACAGATATGTATTATTTTATAAAGGTGGAACCGGCAACTCTAATTACTGTATGTATAGGCGTCTAGGTGTTATTTCAAATTTGCTATGGAAAATGTATTTTAACTTGAGTTGTAAAAATCTAAATTTAAGTTTTCTCAAAGTATGGCTCTGTAATTATTGAAATAGCTTGTCTTCTTTTTCTCACAGATATGTAGTATTTTATAAAGCTGAAACTGCCAACTTTAATTATGCGTGGGCGACTCAAACATTTGCTATGAAAAAAGATCATATATTTTAACTTGAGTTGTGTAATGTAAATATTTGTTTGCCCAATACTATGGCCCTGTAATATTCAACTTCTTGAACAAAATTAACAAAGTCTTTTTCCGCACATAAAAGTGCTGGATACAGTTATCTGTAGATGACTTAGTTTTATCTCAAATTTACTATGAAAAATGTCTTATTGCGTACACCAGTTTTTTAATTCTGTAACTTCGTGTTTTTGAATGCAATACACATAATCATTCCCTCGTGATTCGAACTGGCAAACCCACACAGTGTAATCAAAGGTGACCGTACATTTGAACCCACGTACATTTGCACACGTATATCCGCGGGTTTAATCTATATGCGGGTGCTAAAACCCATGGGTTAGGGTTAGTATAGGTTCAAATATCCGTAATACCAAAAAAAATTTCCATATGTGCAATAGCATGCAGGTGCAATTGTCGTGTGTTCAAATGTAATGGAACCTAATCAGAGGTGTGGTGGCAAGCGTATTCCTATTTCTCAGCACGATGTATCACGTTGACGAGTCAAGCTACTCTTATAATTACATGGCGTCTTGATATGTATGTTCCCAATCAGAACTGTGCATCTTGGGAGCATGAGGAAGTGCATGAAGGTGTGCATGAAGGAAGCCATTGAAATGGAAATTGGAACGATACATTCGTTTCTATTTGTTCGGCAGCGCAACAGCCTTCTTCGAAAGAGGTCATTTGAATGAAAATTGATACTATAATATATCAAACTTATGCTGGCGCCCTCTATATTGAAATGGTCAATTGTTTGAATAAGCAATAAATACAGACTATACAAACATTTACATTGTTCCTTGAAATGTTATTATAATCCAGACTCAAGTTGTCAAAACTTGGATTTTATTGTTGATAATATTTTTGATAATCTGCCATATTTCTTCAGACAGGATGTAATAAATTGCCTATAAGTCAAGAAGAGTGGTTGCCAAACTGTGTGCCATCGTGTTTTGCAAAATCTTGCAAACATAGAAGTACTTGACTATGGTGACCGTACATTTGAACCCACGTACATTTGAACCCATGTGTATATCCACGGGTTCAATCTATATGCGGGTGCTAAAACCCATGGGTTAGGGTTAGTATGGGTTTAACTATCCGTGAAACAAAAAAAAATCCATAGGTGCAATAGCATACAGGTGCAATTGTCATGGGTTCAAATGTACGTGGGTTCAAATGTAATGGAACCCTTGACTATATATCGGTGGATATTTCATTAGAGCCTAATTATGATAAATCATATGTCTACTACAAGCAATGTTAAACCGGAACCATAGCCAACTGTACCATATGCTCCGATCATGAATAAAATTAAGGCCTAACCCTAACCTGGTACACATGCTTCCGGAGTACCCTTTTACAAGAACCTAATATATTTAAAACGAAATCTAGGGCACCTGAATTGTTGAATTTGGCCTGGGCACATTTTTGCACATTTTTTGGACTTGCGAGCAGTTGTCCCTCTAAGGTGTGCGCGTGTGCGCGCGCACACAGCTTTCAGAGGCCGCGCACACGCATAGATTTACTGCGCATAGACGTATTTCGATGTGATGTGAAAATGTGCTCGGTTGGCAGGTTGAGAAAGTTTGTTGTTGGCCCACTTATTACCCGGTTAGAACGCCAAAAAATTCTCCATTGGTTTTTGCACAAATATTAGTCATTTCCAAAAAAGTGCGCACACACCAAAATTCCTGCGCACACATACTACAAAAAATTAGAGGGAACATTGCTTGCGAGGTACCTTTGCACTCATAATTTCTTTAACGTATACACTGTTACATTTTTTTTTCACAATACAATTTTTATAATTTTTTTTTTTCATTTTAGTACCTGCTCGTTTTACCTCTCAAGTGTCTCAAGATCTTATTCTTGATGAAGGAGGAAAAGGTGCATTAACATGCATGGCCACAGGAAAACCGGAACCTAAAATAACATGGAGACATTTAGTGCCGTCAGGTAAATCATTTTTTGAGGTATACATTGTGAATGAGGTTTTGAATCGCATAGTAAATTATTCTTCAGTGAGCATCCAATGATAAGCGAAGTTATCCATTTAGTCAACCTTTTCTCTGTCAAGTACCCCCCCCCCCTCCCCCGAGTCACGAAACTATCAACGCGAACACCCCGAGTCATGAAACAATCAACGCGAACCCCCAGTAATCAGACATAAAACTAAATTGTAATATATTGGCTAACAATTTGCTGTACAACTGCCAAGCCGTGCATTTCACATTGTTGTGTCACAATCACAACAACGCAAAATCAGGGAAAATGTACGCTGAGTTTCAATTTGCATTCATTTTCCTCTTGTAGTTACTTTCTTTGTTGAAGGATATTAAAAAAAAGCAACACACGAAAACCCGACTGTCATCCAAGTACCCCTGGAAATCTTCCCAGGTTGAGAACCCCTGATTTAGGGGTTGGAATGTCGGAATAATCAGCAAGCTCATTTTTGTTTGCAGACTTTAGACGATTGCACCATATTGGTTATGTGCACCATAGCTGGTATTTTTCTGTATCATTTGTAACTTGAAACGCTCATTAGACAATCAAAACTGGGAACCCTTGTTTTCCGAACCTGCTAGCTGTTATGTCCAACTTGGCAATGTGAAATTTCAGGCACCCCTTTTAAAAATATCTGGCTATGACCCTAGACCAGGGGTTCCCAAACCAGGGGTCGCGACCCCAAATTGGGTCGCAGTGATAAGTAGGTAGGGTCGCAAACAGGTCATGGGGTCGGTGGGGTCGCTGAGGTATGGTAGAGGATGGATGTACAAATCATCTAAGATTTGACAAACTATGTTAAATTTAGCAGTTTGTAGTTTGTACCAGTGTTAACTCTAAGCAAATTATGAGTGCGAAAGTGCTTCGCAGTCCAAAAAAAAAGTGCGAAAGTGCTTTTGCCGATTTTAACAAGTTAGGTGCCCTAGCCTTTCATAAAACCCATTTAAAACGGCATAGATACTCGAAAAAGCGCTCCTCCGGTTAATATTATGAATTAAAGAGAAGCCTTTTCGTTAACGGAGTTCCCTTTAAGCGAATTCATGTTTAATTAAAACAAGGGAATTCATCGGCAACGAAATGACATCTGCTAACACCTGCCGCGGACAAAACTTTCATGCAATGTATCACGGTGTCAGTTGCTTACTCGCGTAAACAGCAAAGACTTTCACATTTGTTACTCCTTCCATCTAACAGACACAGGCCGGCTGGAAACCATATTAGTTACAGGGTGGATCGTTTGTACAAATCCGGTGCAAAATAATAGAAGCTAGAAATTCAACTTTTCGATTCATCCCTAAACCTAATCTGATAATTATTAATTTGTGATTTTGAACCACTTTGAAAGTCGCCACCCGCTGTTTTAAAAGATAGGGTAACCTACGTTCCTTCCGAAATATTATGCAGGATACTCCCCTGTATTAGGAGATAGGTTGACCTACTTTCCTTTCAAACTTTTTTCTCCGAAATACCATGCTTCCGAAAACAAACAATACAGTAAAAAACTAATCCCATACCCGACTTGGAATGGTAACCGGACGAGAGGCCGTGGTTCGCCATATGGATAAGCCGTCTTATCGGCTTTCCTCTTCCCCGGGATAAATATGTAAATCCTATCCTATCCTAATATTACACAAGATCACTTTGAAAATCCTCCCGTTTCGTGAGCTAGCGTGACCTAATTTCTCATTTACATTTATATTATACTATTTCAGAGCTTACCCAAAGACAAGTAATTTTTAAATGTCCACATGCCTTGGTTTGCGTGCGAGTTAGTTTGAATCAGGCAGAAAACATCATATATTGGCAAAATGTTTAGTAATGTCATGTACTTTCAGCATTCATAAATAGCACTCTTTGTAATGCTGCTGACCTAGTATCAAATATTCGCATCACAACGCCACTTGCGAGGTTTCCATATATTTCAATTACACTAATAGGAACGATGACATCAAAGAGTTTTCTTTTGCGAAGGTACACTAAATATAACGAGGGTGATTCTTGAGAAAAACATGAATATAAAAAATAAACGAATGATATGATAATGGATCCCAAATAATTTTGAGAGTGTCTCGAAATACCAATCCATTTGATAAATAATTTTTATTCGACCACATGAACGCTGATATCCTGAAAATTAATGTTGAAAGAGAATTACGCATTCTCAGATATCGGACATCCAGTCGCGATATTCAATCGTTCATATGCACAAATCTCACATTAATAGTAATTGCTACCCAAGTTTGTAAATTTTAGAAACCAACAAACAGAAAATAACTAACCTAAAACACAATTAAAATTCAGTCAGCAATAAATTCGTCGCCAAGACGATGCCATACAAAACAAAAAAGATTTGGTCGCGAGAGTTACGTGAGATGACTGCCATTGTTTTTTAAGCAGAATTTAAAAAAATTTATAATTAATAAACGGGAGTTACGACGCCCTTTACACATCGTGTGTGTTAAACTTCCCTGGTGTGTACTTTGGTAAGTACTATTATTATTGTACCTATACACCTGTTGGAGTATTTCGGACAATTTCGAATTTAATATAAATGAAAACCAGACATATAATAAAGACGCAAAAGTAAAATGAACATTTATTGAAAAAGTTATTATTTAAGAAAGACAACATGATCGTACAATTCCGCCAAAACCTCGATGTTCGCAAGTGAGATGATAAATAAATACTTCCCTGTATTCGATCAATTAACTTTAGCGTATCGTTGTTCTGCCAACAAACAGCGGGGTGCAAATTATTTCCGTCCTGTGATATGCTCAAATATTCTCGATATTAATATCATACCCTCGCGTATGTACTTTCTATTAGCTCTTTAGTGATCCCTTCCATCCTTGGCCAAGTCATGTTTCGAATATGTGAACATTTTATTCGACTATACATGGCCGGCGGGATGTTAAAATTGTAAACAAGAGAGAGGTAAAATCAATCGCGAATTTCGTTATAACGGCTCGTTTACGAATTGTTGCGCCTGTTATCGTCGAAAATTATTACATTTGCTGTATTTTGAGGCATTTAAGCAGTAATAATTAGGGCATGACATCATCAAAATCGTCAAGTGAGATCTTGAAATTGCAAATTCCGTAAATAAAATTGCGAATTATTCGGTAACGAATTCAGCTTTAATGACCGTCCGGGTATTGTTTTGTTGAAAATTATTATTAATTTGAGAGCGCCAAAAACATACAGTCCATAACGATGCGACTGCAATTTATATGGTCGCAATTGGTGTGGCGCGTTTATTAATAGTGTAAAATAAATTAAAAGAAATATCAATTATAACCAAGCCTGTCAGCGTGTTTATTTTCTGTGGGCAGGAATTGTAAAATACCATCTTGAGACAAATTCACTTCTATTATAAAATCTTAATTTAATTTATCGTCGATCAAAAAACCGCCCCACACTCGTCCAAACGTGTGTCGAGCTTGAACGACAGGAACAGATTCATCGAAGACCTTAATTAGGGAAAATATGTATTTTATTGGGAATGCAAAATAAATGTAACAAAACGCATTTTTGTGATATAACTTTGTATTTTCGAAAACGTGTTGCCGTGAAAGGTAAAATTTGATCTAAATTAATTGCAAAAATGTTTTATTTTAAATGTAACAAAACACATTTTGCGATATAACCTTGTATTTTCGAAAACGGGTTTCCTGAAAAGTAAAATATGATCTAAATTAATCGCAAAAATGTTTTATTTTAAATGTAACAAAATGTAGCAAAATATGATCTAAATTCACCGTAAATAATGTTTCATTCCAAATGTATCATAACGCATTTTTTTGCGATATAATTTTGTATTTTCGAAAACGGGCGTCACGAAAATTATTAATTTAATGTTTTATCTATCGTCTAACTAACGTCTGGAACACATCATTTTCGGGGAGAACTCTAGCCCGCGAAACGTCATTTAATTTAAAATAGAGAGTGTTTCACGCATTTCAAAACGGAAAATCACCAGTAAGTGGACAGGGATTCGGATTCAGTATTCTATATCCCTGTGTCAGAACTTTCTGAAGAATGGAACAAAGAACCCGTCAAACCGCCGCGGAAGAAGGGGAGTATTTTTTGCACTAATAATTAGGGCGTGACAACATCAAAATCGTCAAGAAACTGGTGAATTTGCAAATTCCATAAATAAAATTGTGAATTGCTCGGTAACATTTTAGCTATAATTATCGCCGGGGTATCGAGCCCAATCTTTTTAGCATTAAGTCGCATACGTAAAATATCCTGTAAAAGAAGTGCTGTTCATTAACGTCATCTCGTCTTATGACCACGCAGAAATGCCTTTATAGCCGGACTATTCAATCACTATTTCAAATCAACATTCAGGATTGGCACAATTTCAGATTTGCGAAGTTTATCACCATAGAAATACATGAGAAAGTTAATTATCGTCTTAATAAATATCTGCATCACGGTATGGACAATAATATTACCATTCGCATAAAATTGGGACGGTAAATTTACAAATCTTGATAGGTAATATTGAAGCCAGCGCAAATGTTAATTTGAGTCCTCAATGTCTTCAACAGCTGTTGCCGATGTGAACGAACGGGTAAACCCGAAATATAAAACTTCGATGTCCGCCGACCCACAAGAATTCATATTTGTAAAAAAGAGAGGGCGGGAATATAGATTACCCAAAACCTGGATATCGCCGCCAAAACGATCGGTGACAAGAACAATTAGCGATTACGACGGAATTAACCAGTAAAGAGTCTTTGTTGCCGATTTTTTAATGTTTCCACCACGTTTATTCGATACTCCTTAAAAATATTCGATTTAAAAAAATATTGAATTTTGCCCACCCCTCCTCGCATATCAATGAGAAATAGTTGTGTAAATATCGCAAAATTCCGGAAAATGCCACGTCCTTTCAACATTGTGATTACAATAAAATGGCACTTAATGGTATTTTGTGAATTTGTTGATTTTGCAAATCTGTGACATGCTGCTAAAAGTTTCGTCTGATTTGAAAATCGTGCAGTTTGGTCACAATTCATCCAAAGTGACTATAACAGGTTACTAACACTTTTTATAGTCAATTTGAATTCACCGATATCATCGATAGTCACATGACCACTCTCGTTCAAAGAAACGCCCCGGGAGCGTTTTTTGCGGGAGAAGCGGAATCCCTGTGCTTGTAAAATAATCATATTATAAACAAGAATTTTGCCGTTAATGCAAAAGCTTTATCTCCTATGTCTGCATCTCATAGGTTAAAATTCCGGTAAATATCGTTATGATATGCAGAATTGAGTTACAAAAGTACCAGTAACTTAATACTCGAAAATATTTGTTAACTTTGAATTTTTATTCCATTCAAAATCGGAAAAAAAGTGCTATTCCTCTTCAAAATCGGAAAAAAGTGCTATTTCGCAGTCCCTAAAAAAAGTTGCGAAAGTGCTTCGCAATTTTCGCAAAAAAGTGCGCTAATAGTGAACACTGGTTTGTACCATGGCTTACTGTAAAACAGGCCCATAAGCATCGCTCTATGCTTATGCTATAGAAAATGTACGTGCTTATTGTGACGTCACTGTTTGGTTTTAGCTTCTTTTACTTAATACCACCACATGACCAAACTCAAAAGTACAGTGAAAGAAGCTCTAAAGTTTCATGAAAAATATATATATTGACATGGGGTCGCACTGGACACTTGAAAGTTGTCCTTGGGGTCGTCCTGAAAAAAGCTTGGGAACCCCTGTCCTAGACAAAGAACCACTATTTTGGAAATAATACAAATTTTTATCCTGTAATACCATCATAGTTTGACCCAATGTTCTAACCACTAGTCACTTACTCAATTCTATTATTTCAGCGGATGGGAACAGAGGTACCGGGCCACATCTTCCATTGAGTGGGATAACTCGGGAAGGAGCGGGTATCTATGAATGTACGGCTGATAACAAGATCGCTGCTCCTGTAACTCATAGGATCAGAGTCATTGTTAGATGTAAGTACTTATCTTGGATCATTCATCTAACATGGTAGTTTTTAGAATGATCGGAAAGGTTAAATTGGTTGTGATTGCACCAAGATTTTGAGTTGGAGTTCTCTGCCTAACTGGAAAGTTTCACTTTTTTATATTATCCTAAATTATACTTTTGAATATAAAGTACAGGATCTTTATCTGAAAAGTTGCTTTTTTCTTAAGTAGTTGATCGTTTTTGAATTTTCAGATGGAAAAAGAAGGCTGTTACTTTTATTTTTCTTTCCTAACTTTGTTCTATGGGCATATTATTTCATCCAAAATTTTTCTGGTTTCTATAATTTACAGCATTCACCATTCAATACAATTTGGATGCTGACATTGTGATGACCGTATTAGTCATTTTATTTTTTGAGCTCATTTACTTGAGCATTAGTCTCTTGTGATGGATATTTTTTTTCCTATTTATACTGGTAGAGAAGAAAACGGGAAGTGACTTAATTATTGTTGATTGTTTCAATAAAAAGGCCAAATCAACCTAAAGCATATCAGAAAATTAGCGGTGGCAATAACTAGAAACAATTTTTCATTGTTATTCTGAGGAACACAAAACATGACAAGATGGCATGAAAATTGCAACAGATATAAGGTTCCAGTAAGATGTGGGAATAGCTTTACTAAAGTCAATTACAGCTTCATATATCCCATTCTCAAAGCAATTTTCTGTGTGAAGATTTGATGAGAAGCATTTCTCATAGCCGGGATGATCTTACACAACATTATTAATAGTCTAATAATCACCCAAAGGGTCCAGAGAACTATACCTGTACTAGGAAACCCTGGAATGAGAGATTTTATTGACTTTTCTTCTCATCCCTACAATCTTGTCCTATCCTCGAGTTATTATATTGCTTATTCTTCCACAGATCCTCCAGAACTAAATATGTATAAAACGGACAACGACGTCTCACAAGCTCTCGGTCAAGAAACGGTTCTGCAATGCACGACATCTGCTGTACCAGTGCCTTCTATAACATGGCATCACTCAGGATATGTGTAAGTACTCCACCCCTATTTAATGGGGCTGGGGGGATGAATTTTGAGGGGCTTTTTCGTGAAAAGTCTGGCTAATTTCTCAATTTGTAATTTCTCAGATTCTTGTATTTTTCTCCATTTCATGCCCCATGTGTCTTACCGGTACTTTTAAATTAAAAAAAAAAAACGAGTGATCTGGCACAATTATTAACAAAATTAAACATACCATCTAAGTCTTGAGATAAGATTAATTATTGGGTCAAAGCAATGTTTATTGATCGGAGGAAAAAACCTCAAAGAAGGGATTTGTTGTTTTTAAGGAGAAAATAGAGAAATATCACTTTGTATTTGATGTAATTTAGGATGGAATAGGATTTACATATTTAACCCGGGTGAAAGGATAACCGATAATACGGTTGAACCATATGGCAAACCCTGGCCTCTCGTCCGGTTACCATTCCATGTCGGGTATGGGATTAGTTAGCCAGTTATTTGTTTTTAGACGCATGGACTTGATGGTGGAGGAAGCCGTAACCAACCAGCGGTTATGTGAACCGCCCTACACTAGTATTGTTTACATTTATAGTGTTATATTATTTCTGTACATAATATTAAACATTCAAACTGTGCAAATCCACTTTGCAAGTTGTGTCACATTTCACTAGATAAGGATATTTTAAATATTGAAAAACAATATACCGTATATGCTCGTTTTACCGCCCGATCTTGATAAGGGCCTGTTTGAATAGCCACCTGTGTGAACAGAACTTAAAAATAAATAAGGACCGGTGCTTGAATACCCGCCCGATGTAAAAGCTGAAATCTCAGTGGTAGAGAACAATAGGAAATAAGAAGCGCTTTTGTCACAACACTGTTGAATTTTACTGTATTCTTTGTGTATAATTTTACTTTAAAAATAACAAGCGCCCGTGCTTGAATAAAGGCCGGTTAGAATAGGGGGCCGGTTAGTGAGTTTTGTTAAAAAAATATGGGCCCGGGCTACAAAACGAGCAAATACGGTAGTGAAAAAATATTACAGTTTTCATTTGTAAGGGCTGAATGAAGTGTTGCAAAATATACGCAGGTAGGAATTTACCAAATAATCTAAGGATCAATCCTGGTTTGAAGTTTGAACAAGAGACATCAAAGTGGCATTCTTGCCTTTAACAATCTAACTCAATAACAACAATAATCTAACTGTATAACGTTTTTAGATACGAAGGTAAAAGACCAACAAACCGGATTCGTGTTCTGAATATTAAGCAAGGGAACACTGTGACTTCCAAACTTATAATCAAGCAAGTTGCACTCGATGATTTTGGAAATTTTGTCTGTGTTGCAACAAACAGGATGGGAACTATTAATACCACTGTCGTATTAAAAAGTAGGTACCAGGCAATAATTGCCAATGGGTTTCCTGGATTTGTATTTGTAGGATTTTTATATCTGTGCCAGGAGAGAGGAAGCCGATAAGACAGCTTCATCATATTGCACACAATGGCCACTACTAGAGAAATATCACTTTGTATTTGATGTAATTCAGGATAGGATAGGATTTACACATTTAACCCGAGGGAAAGAAAAACCGATAATATGGTTTAATCATATGGTGAACCACGCACGGCCTCTTGTCCGGTTACCAGTTCATATCAGATATGATTAGTTAGCCAGTTATTTGTTTCGGATGCATGGACTCGATGGTGGAGGAAGCCGTAACCAACAAGCGATATGTGAACCACTATACCATGGTGAGGAATCCAGTAATCCTTTCGCACATGATTATCCCATACAGGAGCCCACGCAAGATAATTAGAGGTGCGAACTCTAAACTGGCGCGGCGGTGTGGCTCAACGGGCTAAGCGTTAGGAATACGCTCGCCACCGCACCTCTAATTACTCTGCATGGGTTCGCAGGTTCGAATCCCATGCAGGGATGGTTATGTGCGAGAGGATTGCTGGACTCCTCGCCGTTGTTGGGTGGTTCACGTAACCGCTGGTCGGTCATGGCTTCCTCCACCACCAAGTCCATGCTTCCGAAAACAAACAATACAGTAAAATCCAATCCCATACCCGACTTGGAATGGTAACCGGACGAGAGGCCGTGGTTCGCCATATGGATAAGCCGTCTTATCGGCTTTCCTCTCCCCCGGGATAAATATGTAAATCCTATCCTATCCTAACTATTAATACTACTCTTTATCATCATATTACATTTAATACACAAGCACACCTTGTCTGTTATGAGCGCTAATCTATATTTACATTACTTTGAACTTATTGACTATTCCAATATTAGGCCCAAATATTTAAGCACTAAAATTATTTAATTAATACAACTATTTTGCTATTTCAGGGGTTATACCAGAGGAAACAAGGCCACCACCCCATGTTGGTAAGTTACATTTTATTTGGGATTATGATTAATTTAGTTTATTATTACTTATCGATCTTAAGATCGGTAAGTATGTTTATGGGTATTTGTCTGTCTGTATGTCTGTTTGTTTGTCTGTTAGATGAACGCGATATATCAAGAAGGCGAGGTTGAATCTGCTTTGAATTTTGCATGTGCATTCATCATATCTCTATTGAAGCCTATTGATTTTGGACGAATTATGTCGTATAATTAGCAAGTTATTAATTAATTATTGATGGGACACGCAGTATTACTATAGAGTCATAATTCGAAACCGCAGTTTCGATCGATAAGTCTTCGGTCTCCGACCGATATTCTCATTGTTTATTTCTCAGTTTAAATAAACCTTTGTTTAACTGAATAAAATGACCACCTCAATTTCAGAAAAATCCCAGCTAAATTTCAAAAGTAATAAATGCCAAAAAACAGGCTTAGTCAAAATGATATCCTGGCAGGTCAGAGTTCAAAGGTCAAAGTTTCTCTCTTTTTTACAGTGTTTGCTGGTTTTCAAAACAGAGCAAATGGTCAGAAATCAGACAAAGAAGATGGGGATGGTAATTCAGGGAAATCTTCAATTAAAATTCAAACTTTTACCAAATTATTCGCTATTTTTTCACCACTTTTAGGACTAAAAATCGTTACCATGTTTCATATTTAAGCGTATTTTTAATTTTTTTGTTCATTATTTGTTTTTAACATGATTTCAAATTTATTTTGGAAAGAGAAAAGCTGGTATGTGGGGCTTAATACCAAGACAAACCACGCTCTCTTGTTTGGTTCCTAGTCCAGTCAAGGTTATTGTAAGTATAGTACGTTATTGGATCTTTGCGCACATGAAGAATTATCTGCTACATGAAAACAAACCTTAAACTACGGTAGGGTAATCAACAGTAGTTTGAATCACACTATTTCATTTTTCCAAGAGGGTTGGGAGAGCCAAGCTGATGGGATGATATATTTATAATACTCACCGTCAAAAACAGTAGATTCCTAATTCGAAAATTTCAATTTTTTAAAATTAGATATTTAAACCTCGGGTTTAGCTGCTCGATAACTTGCTTCGGTTCCCCGCGACATCCCTTCCCCAATAAAACTGTGGAATTATCATTTTCTCGAAATTTGTGTTCGATTTTTTACTGACTGGAAAAAATAAACTTGACTTGACTCGTCTGATTACTAAGTTAGTTTTGGACCTGTGACATCCAGATCCCCTGTAAAAATATCATAGTTATGCTGTCTAAGAATTAAAGATATCACAGTCGTTTTACTTCAATTGATGTAGTCATGGTGAGGTGATGACCTTCGCCCATGGCCCCCAGAAAATCGCTTCGGGGCCCTCTAGTGGAACCAGTCATCACTGTTTATTTTACCTTCTATTTAGCGTAGTTCATATGATTCTAAATTCAACATGACATTCTGAACTATTTTTCACTGTAAGTGTTTTTATTTAATAAATCGCTATCCTGTTTTTCATTCAATATTGCTTCACTATCGTATTTAAGGTAGCATGCCCACCTTGTCTCATAAAACTGTATTATGATTATGCTATATTCTTGGCACTATGAAATTGAAGCCTAATGCTCCCATTGAAAATTTTTGAGGAAAATGATCAAATCTTGCTTCATAATATCTAATAATAGTGCATTAGTACACTTTACTGAACTTAAAATTCATTTAAAACTGTTTTTTCTCATTATTGCTGTATCATTACTGTATTAAAACAAGACCATCATGACCAACGTCATTTCAAATTCAGATTTTTTCCCCCCTGTTTAAAAAACCTTCTATATTTTCAAATTGAGCCTTTATTAATAGGCATTGGTTTCCCAGCGCAGAGACTATGACCAAGCAGCCATTGATATGTGAGAATCTACAATTTGTAAAAGAACTGAATCTCTCCGTTTTTATATTGCATATACAATTTATTACACAGATTAAAGCTCTATTAACTCTCTATTCTCAGCAAATGGATTACAGCTTATAACTTTTAAAAACCAATTTTATTATTTTTCATTTTTCATTATTGCAGTACCATCACTGTATTGCAGAAAAACCATGACCAAGCAAAGATTTTTTCTATTCATCCTTAGTTTTTTTGCATTTTCATTGAATCTTCATTAAAATATTTGATTCCTGGCCCTTTACATGTTTAGCATAATTCAATTTAAAAAACATCAAATATTCCAAATTTTTCACAATTATGCTCTAGGCAAGGCTCTGCAGAAGCTGTTATTGATGTGAAAAAAATTCCTTGAAGAACCAGAATGTTTCAAATGATGCCACGGTTAATCATCTTTCTTTTATCAGAAATGGAATTGAAACTTCTAAATATATGATTTCAATCATTATTTTTCATTTCTCATTTTTGCATTATCATCACTGTATTACAGCAAAAGCATGACCAAGGTATTTGGAAAATGTCCCTAAATACTTTTCTTTCGATTCATCTGCAACTTTCTCAGACCATTTACGCATCTACAAATTCAATTTTCATAAATATAAACTGATTTTTGGATGGATTTTTTGATGCTCCCGAAGAATTCGTACCAAGATTGCGCACAACCTGAACATAGTATGGGTACCAAGTTAGGGTTGTTCAGGTTGAGCGTCATCTTGGTACGAATACTTCCGGAGCGCCACTTTTTTTGCGTACAACTCAGTTTCAAACTATCCAATATTCCAATGCCAATTTTTCAGTATTGCAGTATTATTACTGTATTGTAGTAAAACCATGATTATGCCCTTTAAAGTGGTCAAGAGGATTTTTTCACCTTTTTTTCCTGAACTGTTCACATATCAATTTTTAAAAATATACATTAGCTTTTGCACGCTTTACTGTTTGACATAACTCGAATTAAAATATACCCGATATTCTTATTTTTTCACTCAGAACAGTGGTTCCTAAACTTTTTGATATCGTTCGTTACCCCTAAATTGCATTTCCAAAAGCTTAATTACCCTTTTAATAAAAACTACGTCATATCGTTATCACTTTTTCTTTGATCAACAATGGCGATAATATTAACACCACCTATTGCATATTCTGATTAGACTTTATGATGCTATACTGTAGCCCATTCTCGCCTAAAATCTGTAGCCGAAGGATTGGTATTATGCCCCTACGAAGTGTGTACCTAGTCACTAGAAGACTAGGCTCAAGACTATAGATGCGATTTTCCGCAGACTATTCAAAAGTACGGAGTTACAAAAGAAATTGTTAAACCGTGAGCGTCTGGATTACCCCCTGGAATTGCCAAATTACCCCAATTACTCCCAGTTCGGAAACCACTGACTTAGAACAAGAAGGCATCAGCCTTCGATTAAAAAGACTATTTACTATGAAAAACCAGAACTTTCGAAATGATGCTATGGTCTATTATCTTTATTATTATCAGCAAATGCATTTCATCTTAAAACCTTTAAAAGCTGATTTAAGTCGTTTTTTTTTCATTATCATCACTGTATTACAGCAAAACCATGACTATTGTTTTTGAATTATAGGTGTAATTTTTTCTCCGTTCACCAGAAGTTTTCTCTATTTTTAAAGATAGTAACTAATAGGTGCTTGTATAAAGCGCCTCGTTGAAACAGTTGAAAGCGTGAAAAAGCGCTGTGTGAACAAAAAAAAATAGATTTTTGCTCCTTTTTCTGTAATTTATAATTATTCAATATTTCGAAATTGACTTATCATCAATTTTTGAGTGACTGCTCGTCTTTAGCCTTGATCTGAGAGAAACCTGTTCTTTTAAACTTTTTCCTATTGAACGCCTATTGGAACCCTATCAATGCAACTAATAAAAATTTTGAAGAAATTAATCAAATCTTTTTCATATAATCTAATATTAGTCTATTACCAGTGTACTTCATCCAAAACGAATTTTTCTGATTTCTCAGTATCAGTTTTGCATCAAAACCACGACTAAAGCAATTTCAAATTCAGATTATTTCCTTTTTTAAAAAACCTTATATATTTCCAAATTGAATCTTTATCAATATGTATTGATTTACCGGTGCTCCCGAAGTATTTGTACCAAAATGACGCACAACCTGAACATAGTATATGTACCAGGTTAGGGTTCAGGTTGTGCGTCATATTGGTACGCATACTTCCCGATCGCCGATTTTCCAATATATTGCTCTTTCCTATATATAGCTTGATGCTTATTCAGAACCCTGCGCAGGGTAAACTATTACTGAATCCCAAATATATCATTTCGCAACTCTCACTGCCATGTAATTGATAATCTTTACATTCTTTATTCTAAGATTCGCAGTCTCATACATTCCAGTTCCAAAAGCAGTTTTTTAAATTTCATGTCTCTATTCCTAAATTTACTACGTTAAAATTTCAAGATACATTTTACAAAAAAAATTCTTTTTAAATAATGGAATTCCTAAAATAGGTAAAACTATTCTATTAGTACTGTTCCCATATTTAATTGAGAGATCAGGACTTTGCTTCGATCAAACTGTATTGAAAAATTATCTTTTCTTTATTTGCAGATTTTAGAGTAGCAAATACTGTTTTAAATTACTGTTGTATTGCAGTTAATTTACTATTTTTCGATTCTTTTTGTCATTTCCACTGTAATTATTTATTACGTCGCTATCTTTATTTCGTCATAATGTCAACATTGTATATTCTATTCATTGTGTCATAATTGTTAAAAAATGAAAACGACTCATGCTCGTCTGTGGATTTAAGCGTCAGAGACATGGAAATACGAAATTCCACGCTGTCATTAGGTTAGGCTTATTCACCACTTCTTAATGTTAGAAAAAGATGGGTGCTTCTGAAGTATGCGCACCAAGATGTCGCATAACCTGAACTAAAAAAAGGAAACAGTATTTTTGCATATTGAGGGGGGAGATCAGGAAAAAGAGGGGGAAGGGGCTATATTGAAAAAAGCTGGAAACCATTGTTGTGACCACTAAGCCCCGGAAAAAGCACAATTCGATTTATATTCAAATACTTTTATTACTCATTCTTGTTTGCTTAAATTAATTTCAAGAAATTAAATTTTCTTCGTCAAATTGTATGACTTGCTTCTGTAAACTTCTGAACGGCTTAGAGAGTGCACTAAAAATAAAAGAGAAATTATTGAATATATGGCACGACAGAATGACTGATATGGTCATGGTGGGGTTAGAATAATTCGAACTAACCACTGAAGTATTTAATTGAATCTAATAAAAGATTATTAGATATACAGGGTATCCATAAAGTTCCTTTACAATTTTAATTTTGTTCAAATCAGTTCTCAATATATCTTGACTTAAGGTTTGCTGTTTTTCAATATGTAATTGTTTAGGTATTTTTACTTTATTCAATTGACCACACGACAAATTTCCTCCAACATAAGTAAGTAATGTCTGTCTTGCGCCACGATAACTAACGATAATATTACTTTTTGTACTATCACAGTATTGTGGATCATGTGAAAGTTATTATATATACATTCATTGGCGGCGAGATGCTAAAAAAAATAAAGTAGTGAATCCGCGAAACACATTTTTTGATTGAAAAGCAGCAATTTAAAATACTGAAAATAAGACCAAAAACAATATAGATTTTGTTGTAGGAGACTCGCGATAAACTAAAAACGCTACGTTAGGCTTTGCAAATCGCAAATTTTTGTTCGTTGAAAACGAAACAAAGTCCATTGTGCGCGGGATTTACCTTTTATCTACCGATTCTATAAATTTTACTCAGTGAGATTTTATAGCAGACCTCTTTAACGGTTATATCTATAAAAAGGCACTTGCAGAAGCCGTTCCGCGGGGATTTCAAAGGCGATGAATATTTACTTTTGATTCATTAGTGACCTCCATAAAATATCCAGGGCTACTCAACTATTTTCACCAAAGGTCCGTTCAGAAAACTTCAAAATTACTGGGGTCCGGACAATGCAGAATATTTTTTTCATTAAATAACCGAAACTTCAAATATAGACACAAATGTCGCATATTGGTACCAGTACGACAAACTGTATAGCTGTGTATTTAAATTGTACAAAATCATCTAAAACTAAAACGATGCTTATGCCGCCAAACTAAACAAACATACGCGGTCCAAATTAAATGGTCGAAAGGTCCGAATTCGTACCGCGGTCCGCCAGTTGAGTAGCCCTGAACCATACTACTGTTAAACGATGGACTCGGGTTGGGAAGCACTGTTATAGAAAAACAGCAAAACGAGAAAATCGGTCAGAGACCGAAGACTTATCGATCGAAAGTTAGGGGATCCCCAAAACAATGCTCTTACTCCATAGTGACACCTTGTGTCCCATCACTAATTAATTAATAACTCGCTACTTATACGACATAATTCATCCAGAATCAATAGGCTTCTGGTCCGACATATGATGAACGCACATGCGAAATCTGGAGCAGATTCAATCTCATTTTCGTGAGATATCGCGTACATCTAACAGACAGACAAACAGACAAATACCTATTAACATACTTACCGATAAAAATCGATAAGTAATTAGGAGTGAAATTTTGAGCGTTGTAAAACGGAGCTTAGAAGTATGTGCACCAAGATGGCGCGCAACCTGGACATAGTATGTGTACCAGGTTGGAGTTCAGGTTGTGCGCCATCTTGGTGCACATACTTTGGGAGCGGCTGTAAACTTGCTTAAAATTTTAAAATGAATGAATTGATAGCCTTATAGGAACTTTTTCCTTCTGAAGTTACTGACAATATTAAATCGATTGATTATGTTTATGAAAGTTTATAGCAAAGTAGTCGGAATATTAGAAATATCATTCTATTATGTTATACTTACAGCGGATGTCTCACATCCTGGAACATTGTGTGGCCAGTCACAAACATCAGTCGCTGGGTTGTATACTGTGTTTGATGGACAGTCCTGAAATGTAAATTATTTTTTATATAACCTTAAATACCCGTGGATTTCAACCTTTTTGTTGGTACTAAACCCGATGAAACTCTCCAGAGTCGAGAGTAATTGAGTAATTCACTTTGGCCCGTCTGACGCTGCCGAAACCAAATTTTGATGTTTTTAGACAAAAAATAGCTCAAGGAATTGAAATTGTTGAAATTGCGATTGAATATAGTTTTTGCACGAGGCTTAGTGTTTTCCACTTTTTCGTTTGTAAATCTGTAAATATTGTTCATAAAATGTAACTTTTTACGTCAGACTTACATGGCCCGCCAGTCGAGGTATAGGCACAATCTTTGGCTCTTGGTCCAAAAACCTTGTCAACCCCAGGTCTAGGTAAATCCCTGTGCGATAGTTTAATAGTCGGTTCATATATGAAGGATACGATTTTATTATTCATTCATAATTTCAAAAAGAGCGGTGAACCGATAACCATGTAGGATTAGTTAGCCAGTTATTTGTTTCAGGTATATTGAATTGACGGTGGAGGGAGCCGTAACAATCTTGCCCCACCCCCAGATCCTCCACCCAGTGGTGGGATTCAAATTTTTTGTCAGCCGGTTCCATCACAGAAGCCATATTTTTCGGCCGGTTCCGATATATGTTTTTTTAGTAATGCTAACCGGTTGGCTGATCTCATAAAATTCCACGAGACGGTTCTATAGAACCGGTGCGAACCGGCTGAATCCCACCACTGCCTCCACCTTTAACTTACCATCACATGAGCGTTGTTCCCAGCAACGACACCGGCGCAGCTGTAGTATTTGGTGCAGCAGTTTGGCACTTCTTCATTGTTAGGGTCTCCTAAGCACATGTGGGCTAGAAATATAAAATATCATGTATTATTCTTTGCCTGATATGGTCAAACTTCTGGCCAAATTCGCTTGATGCTGCCATAACTTGTATTTTTGGTTGCCGCAGACTTTTATGTTTTTGGGAAGACCCTTTATTTCCGCTGGTGCGAAGCGACTTTTCATACCCTTTTTTAATATGTAATAGCTAGTTAACCAAAAAAGTGTCACAAAGTTTTCCTATGTACCAATGGAAGGCTAGTAATCGCGGCTTTTCGACAAAAATTTACGTTTTTTTTTCGCTCACTCGATTCGATGGCGTTCTCCTCACACTTCTTTCTTTTGCACGCTCAGTCTCGGGATTTAACTTAGTGCCGACAAAGATTGTTAACGTCCCGATAACGCACTCTTTTTTGTTCATAGCTTTCTTGCCATTTTGCTCATAAAATATAATCTTTCACGTCACACTTACATTTTTGGACCCCGGTTCGAAAACTCTGCCCAGCCTAGCTAGACCAACCGTGTGGAATTCCTTCCCAGCGAGGTATTTAGCATTTTTTGAGGGGACGTATTTTGCTTTGTATTTTCTGTGGTATTACTATTATGTTATAGTTCTTTTTTATCACTATAACACTTTTTCATGCATATGTTATAAACGGTGGTCCCGAAGTATTTGTACCAAGATGGCGCACAACCTGAAAATAGTATTTGTACCAGATTAGGGTTGTTCAGGTTGTGCGTCATCTTGGTACAAATACTTCCGGAACGCCTTATAAACTTCTTGGATAACCTTGACAGGGAATCCTGCTTCAAAATTTGGGGATCGGTAAATATTTTGATATCAGCAATAAAACTATTTGTACCTTATAAAAATAAGCGACCTCCACAAGTATGTGCACCAAGATGGCGCACAACCTAAACATAGTAATTGTACCAGGTTAAGGTTCAGGTTGTGCGCCATCTTGGTGCACATACTTCGAGAACGCCAAAATGAGTTATGTATTTGGCTGATCATCTGAAGGTAATTAATTTTGTTCGCCTACTTTACATCAAGTTGTGTAAAGGGACTGAAGCCTATGGACAGGGGTATATTCACTCGGCTAACACAGACAGTCCCCGAACTCGTAATAGAACTAAAATAAGGAAAATCGGAATAATATTACTAGAATTATTTAGAAACAATATTGAATAAACTTACGGCTTGGTGTTGCTGGAATGCCAGTCCATGGTGCGCCAGTGGTGCCAGTACCGTCCCATGTCTGTAACGAAATTGATTATTTATTAGCAATTGGAACATAAACCCAGATATTTTTGAACTCAAACAGCATTCAAAGTAACTGGAATTAAGAGCGAAAAGGGGGATATCCGCGGGTCAGAAGTGGGAAGCACACATAAAGGGCCTGCACCGGTACCTGTACGTATAATTGAGATACTGAATAGATAAGATACCGAACTGAATTGTTGCGTATATACACGTGCTTAAAAACTGTGATAATGACGTAACAATTGGCGGTATCTGGAACTCAAAAAGAATAAACAACCGATGTTGAACAACTATTCAACTCCAGTTTGATGGGCCATATTAAATTGCACGCGGGGCGTAATTGGCCCACGGGCGGCGGTTTGTGAATCATTGATGTAAAGCATGATATGTAAATTCAGCTCCCGTAGCGACAACATGCGACAACTGGCCATGTTGTTAGGGAGTTCGATACAAAAAAGAAACCGTTCTTATAATTTTGTATTCCACCGCGGGCCATATTTCTATTATCTTTCTCTCTTGTGGGTACGATAGGCCTAGTGTTTGAAGGTTTAAACCAGGTATGCGCAACAGGTGACTCGTGGGCCACAACCCGGCCCGTCAGGTATTTTAGTGTAGTTCTTGTCAATATTCAGATTTTTCCCGATCAAGCATAAAATCCTAATCTGACAGTTTATGCCCAAAACGTCGATCATATGGTAAAAAAAGTTGTGTTTTTTTTGCTCTCGTCGCCGCGTCAAATCTTTCGTCGTTTTGCCCGGCGCCCATATTACTGTATCGCTAAGCAATAGCCATATTCCGCATTTTTGTGTGGCGCAGGTAAATGTATGAAGTTGGTTAGATGGTCCACCCACAGAGA